GAAAAATGCTAGCCCGTACTAGATGATGACATTAGACCTTAAAGACACACGGAATACTTAATTATTCTCGGCCTAGGTTACAATAGTTCTGATGGAAAGGGTTAAGAAGTCATCATCTAAAAAGTTACCTCTGAGTCCCATGTGTATTTCCTTTTCCGGGAAAGGACCAAAGAAAAGAGTTGATCCAGTGCTTAAGCTTTCATGCTTCAATGCTTAAACACTGGGGGGGCTATGCATATGAAGAAGTATGTAAAGGAATAATATGTACATCACAAAAGCATAGTTTAGCCAAAGAAAAAACCTTGAAGAAAATTGAAAATCTTCAAGCTCGCAAAAGGAATGTGAAGTAAAGAGTTAAAGATTCCGAAGAAAACACCCACGAGCTTTTAGGTTAAGGCTGTAAATTTAGTCTTGGGATAGATATACTCATGCTTATAAACCTTCTATAAAGAAAGCAGTTATGAAAATGTTGTACATAAATATTTATTTGAAAGTTCAAATAAAACTTCTTCAAATTACTTCATATTTTATATCTTTACACCAATATGAAGATGAGATGTCATCTTCATTAGTGTTGTTAATATAAAAGGGTCATCTTTTATAATTATAAAAAAAAAGCCCGTGCACATTAAGATGCGGCATATTAAAGCGTTTCAAATGCAAGTAAAAGCTCAAAAACGTAATAGCAAAAAGCATAATATAAGATATGCAACGAAACAATATTAGCATTAATATCCCAAAAATAGGGAAGGAAAGGTTTCCCAAAATCAACTTCAAACAAAAACAAAATGTTTCATAAACACCAACAAAAGAAAAATTCTACGGTGAAGGGTGAAAAACTAAGGAGCACCATCAACAGGGGTGGAAGGATCAACTTGAGAAAACGAAGGTTGGGCATCAGCTTGGTCAGTTATGGGACCGTCTTTATCACCTTTGGAACTTTCATCCTCGGGTGTTGAAAAACTTTGATGTTGCTAAGTATCTTCAATTGCCTCTTTAGCTTTGGCAATCTCAGCCTCAAGTTCAAAACCCCTTCTGGTTAGCCTCAATCAAAGTTTCTAGACGGGTGTTTAAAAAAGTCCAACTAACCTCAAGTGTTAGTTTATCTTCAAGGGCTTCATAATGTTTCTCCAGATGCTTTATCTTTGCCTTCAGGTCTTCTTTTTCAGCTTCTGAGGCTTTATAGGATGCCTTCAAAGGTTCAAGAGTATCCTCAAGGAACTTGACTTTATCATAAGAGTCACGGAGATCCTCTTAAGCTTGAGTGAGCATTTGAACTAGTTCATAAGTGTACAACTTCTTCTGATTTAGAAGTTCCTTTAAGCTCCTAATCTCCTCAGTATCCTTAGAGTGTTGCTCAGGAAAGGATGATTCCAGTCTATCCTTGTCTTTTTCAACTTGATTGGAAGAAGCCTTCGAATCTACCAACTCGACAGCTGTAATCTTGAGTTGCTACTCCAAAGACCCTTTTTTCTTCAGCGAGGGCCTCTTTCTCAAGTTGAAGGCTTTCAAATTGCTCCTTCCAATTGTCAGCCTCTGTACGTAGCTCTTCCACTTGCTGCTCAGTCCAAGATATTCTTCTCATCAACTCCGTACCTGTTAAATTGATCTGCATAAAGGCAAGATAGAAAGGTTATAAACTTATAAGGGAAGGAGGAAGCATAAAAGAAGAGAAGTATACCTTAAAGGCAAAATGAATAACACCATTCATTAAGGTAATAGAGTTGTGAGACTCAAGCTTTTCCCTCTCCACGGGGCCGATTAATGGTTTCAACCACACTGCAGCTCAGCGAAACTTCTTTAACAAGTTCCCGCTATCGGGGACTTCAATCAAAATCTTCTTCATGCCTCTTCTCCCTCTAGAAGGGCCAACCTCTTCACGAGGAGTTGCAGCAGGTTTGGTAATAGAAGAGATGGAATGATTAATAGCATGAGTTGCGGGGTTCATTGGAAGAAAATCAATGGGTGGCTCTTCAGAAACAGGGCCAAGATCTTCTTCACCCTCAAATCCTTGAGCGAAAAGTCTGTCAATATGACTTGAGGGGGGATTACCATAATGAACAATATCTTCATCTTCTAAGATGTCCAATGGGACATTCTCAGGTTCATCAACAAGTTTGAAAGGCACGGGGCCTAAAGGTAGGTCTTGGAGAACGGTGGTTTTATCATCTAAAACCATACGCCTCCTAACTCATGGCTTCCTCGCCAGAGAGACATCATCATCTTCTTCTTCTTATTCATCGGAGGCGTGGGTTTCACTGTTCTTCCTCTTTGAAGAAGACACGCTCAAAATCTGCTCCTGGGTTGTACTAATAGAAAGTCTAGCAATGGGAACAGAGGCGGGACGAATACCACGAATAGCAAAACCTGAGAATAACGAAAAAGGGTCAGAGTAAGAAACGTTATAGTAAAAAAAAAGGGTACGGAAAGGAAAAATACCATGGGTTTTCACTTTCCATGTGAACTTCTAAGAAAATAATTTCCACGATCTTTGTTCCATAGGGGCAGCAGTCAATATTTTTTTTACCCAATCATGAAAGTTGGAAAGTTCACCAAAAACTTCCATGATTGCTGAAAGGAATGGAAGAAACGAATGAAAAATTCAAAATTATAAGAGAAAAGAAAAGAAAGTAACAGAAAGAAATACTCACGTCCAAAGTTTCACTTCTCAAGGAAAGGCATATTTTAATCACCCACCAAATCACGAGTGTGAACAGCTACGAACCGGGCGTACCAGCCACGGTCACGATCATCTTCAAGGCTGACTAAAACTCTCTTTGCTTCTCTCCATAAGAGAAAAGACACATTCGCGAAAGAACTTCGGGGAATACAGATGAAGTGTTGAAAAGTAAAAGAGGCTCAAACCATGTTTGATAAATAACGAAGGCAAACTACTGCCCTCCACATTATCGGGCCTATTTGACCAAGACACACATTGAAGTACCGACAAAACTAAATGATCATTGGGTCAATAGGTGGCTTGAATCCTAAGGTTAAAGAATAAGTGTAAACAAACGGATAACCTTCATGATAAAAGCTTATTCGTTCATCAGCACTAGGAACTACAACAGGAAAATTAGATTTCCAATGGCATTCACGGCGAAATAGAGTGGTGATAAAAGTAGGGTAACGATCGGCGGGATTAAGTGTTGCAATAGAAGACTCTTGTTTTCGCATTGCTTCACAATCTGATTTGAAAGAAAAATATTGAGGAACAATTTCAAAAACAACGAGCTCCTGCATCGGTTCGTTATGGTCCTTACTCCTAGAGGAAGATCTAGGAGCTGATGGAGTTCTAGCTTTGGAAGAAGAATGCTTTGAAATATTCTTCTCGGAAGGAGTAGAGCTACGGTTTGATAAAGAACCTAGTCTACAGAGCTTACCACCTCTCTTATTCCTAATTGGGACAAAAGAAGGGGGAAGCTCATCAACAATGATTGTTTCACGAGGGTCAGATGATAAAGAATGGTTCGAAGAATGAGAAGTCATTTTTAATGGTGAAAACACGAAGAAAGGGGAAAAGTTAGAGAAGAAGTTTGAGTATGAATGCAAGAAAAAAAAAGAAATTTTTGGGTGGTATGTAATGCGATATTTATAAGGAAGGATCGTCGTCATGGAACCGTCACTTCGAACTGATGCAGCCGCAGAAAACCCTAAAAAGACACTATAAACTGTAGAGCCAATCATAAAAGGATTCGTGTCCCGAGCATTAAATGTAAAGGACGTACGTCTCTTCGCTTCTGAAGAAAGCATAATGATGTTGGGAAGAGGCGGCAAGACATTCCCCATAAATAAACTTACCATTTCCCGAATATTCACTCGAGAATATTCATAAAGTGGGGGAACTATTTGTATTGGTAGAAAAATAGGCATGACACGTGGACTAACAATATGATGACAAGTGGCATTTGTAGCAAGTTAGCAAAGAAGAATGTTGAGGCACCGTTGAAATACTCACGCGATTTACTGAAGAAGGTATCGTACCTGACAACTGGAAGAGAAGAAATAGGCATGAGATGCATGAAAAGGCCATAAATAAGGAAGATCATGAACAATTACGAATATGGAAAGAGAATCAACATTATCCCTGATTACGCACGATCACCTATTATTACCATAATCGTTACGAGTGATTTCAGTAACGGACAATTAATGCAGAGAATGTCAGTAACATGTAGGAGTTAAGAGAGAGGGAACCGTTACATCTTTTGTATATTTATATAAGAGTCCTTACCTTATTTTGTACCATCATCGAAATATTCACAAATATATGCAACCAGTCTTTTATTTTATCCCTATTTGATTGAAGATTCTTGCCCACAATTCTTGGGAGAAAATAACGTTTATCAATAAGATTTCTTTCCCTCATTTACTGAATATTGAGTTTCAATTGCTTTTTACTCTCTTATTTTATTCTCTTATTTTTGAAAAAGTCAAGTAAACTTGGTTATCAGAAATTCGATTTTCTTTAATATTGACTTTGACCAAAAAACTATTTTTTGGTTAAACAGTTTTCATGATAAGTGGAAGCATTTTTTGTGAATGCCAATTCAAGACCTGTGAACAAAGCTAGATTTTCTTTCAATCTTAACTTTAAAACAAATAAATTTAATTCAATTTTGCTCCAAGATTGATCAAATTAATATGTAATAAGCAGAAGTGCGAAGCAAATTGTAACGATCTAACTGAAAAAGACATTGAATCCACGGTGAAAACAACACCTAGCTAAATTAATCAATAAATTTTCAGGGTACCCAACTACCCCTGACTAATTCCCTCTCTTCCAAAGATCAGATGCCTTTTTTCATTGTTAAAATTGTGTCAAAAAAAAAAAACAAGATAGCAAAAGAAAAAAACAGAAAGTAGGGTGTTTTGGTAATTGAGCGTCCTGAGTGGGCCTCCAAAAATTGAAATTCCGGTATTCTCCTAAGCTTTCGCGCTACATATGAATAGACACGTCCTGCTTCTTTCTATTCAATTTGACGCCTTCTATAGTTCTCCTTCCGTCGTGAAAGTCACCTTCAAAACCCTCAAAGACATTTTCAACAGGTACATTCTTGTATGGAAAAAAAGGAATGTACCTATGTTTTTCCTCAGAATCTTCCAATTTTGAAACAAATGGATGGAGAAATGGAGGATTTCAGTGTAGAATGTTTAAACGTATATCCGGAAATTGACTGGGAATACGAGTTTGACGCACCGTGGTTCTATGATTTTTGTCGCCCGGAGTCACCTTCTGAGGCTGCAGAAGCCGAACGCTGGTTCCAAACAGCCGGCAACTATCCTCCTTCTCGTAAGTCTTAGATTAAAGGAATTAATTTCTGAATGTCTGTTCTCTTCTTTTGTAGTTTCGTTGGTTGGTTGAGCGTGCAAAAGTGCCCTATTCTTTTACTTTTCTTCCTCTCTTTTTTCATGTGACATAAGGCTAGGTCTTGCTTCGATTGTGTTGAAGATATAATTAAGTAAATAAAAATGTGATATCTCTTTAACAACTTAAGCTTTTTGGATGAGAAGATCACACAATTTAATACAGTATCAAAAGTAGGCAGAGGTCCTGGTACACTCAATATTAAAAAAATAATTTCCAAGTCCTTGACTCATGAAAAAACAAAATCACGGCCGCACATGAAGGGGCACTTGAGGATATAATGAAGTAAATAAAGGAGTATTCTTCCTAGCTTCCTAAACTTTTAGTTGAGATGGTCAAACAATTCAACTGATATGTAAGTCACACATTTAAGAAGTAAAATGTTTCTTTATGGAAATGCAAGGAGAAAGTTGTAGTATATGTCACTCCTCCCCTATATTCATGCACTAATAGGAGCATTTCGTCCATGGGAGAGTAAAAAAAGAAAAAGAAAAACAAGCTTGATGATTGTCATGTTATTTCCCTTTCAGGTTTTAATTTGACAAAAAAAAGTGCTATACATATGACACATTGAATACTTTCTGGTCACTTAAGTTGAAGAAAGGCCAACTCATTAAGATCTTGTGCTGTGCAAAATAAAAAATGGTTATTACCTTAGAATGCTGACATATACAGTGGACATGTCATTGAAGGGATTGTTGTGATTTGGAAAGAGAGAAAAAGATGTGGAAAGGTTACATGGAACTTTTCTTAATTCGAGTAGACGGAATAAATTACAGTTCTGTTGAATTGTGTAAACTGTCTCACCTAATAGCTTATTATTGAACTTTGTAAGCACTTCATATGAAACTTAAACTGTTAAAGAGAGAACATTTTGATTTATTGATTTTAGGACAGCCATATGCAGTTGAAGTGAGAGTATGGTTCTTTGTCTTGGTTCAAACACGCGAATGTCTTTATCAGTGTTGATGGTAGACTCAAGTCAGGGGCGGAGCCAGCATTCTCGCTACGGGTTCGGTGAACCCAGTAGCTTTGGTTCAAACCCTATATTTGTCTTGAAATATTCATTAACTAGTTATAAGTAACTTAGAAAACCGAACCATAAGATTGAAATTCTAGCTCCGCCTCTGACTTAAGTTCATGATCTTTGCCTCCCCCCCCCCCCCCCCCC